CTATTTGCCAATATTTTATTGAGGATTTTTGCATCTGTGTTCATTAGGGAGATCGGTCTATAGTTCTCTTTTATAGTTGGTTCTTTCTCAGGTTTTGGTACTAGAGTAATATTTGCTTCCAGGAATCACTTAGGAAGGATTACTTCCCTTTCAATTTCATTGAATAGTTTGAGGAGTGTTGGCATTAGGTCTTCTTTGTATTTCTTGTAGAATTCTGCAGTGAATCCATCTGGGACTGGTCTCTTCCTGGTGGGTAAGGATTTAATTACATTTTCAATTTCATTAGCAGAGATTGGGTTAGTCAACAGTTTTACATCCTCTTGGTCTAGCTTTGGTACTTCATATGCTTCTAAGAATCTGTCTATTTCTTCTGTGTTACCAAACTTTTGAGAGTAGGGGTTTTCGAAATAGGTGTTGATGATCTTCTGTATTTCTATTGGGTCTGTAGTGATTTCTCCTTTTTCATTTCTTATTGCATGAATTTGAGCTTTTTCTTCCCTGTTTTTAATAAGGTTGGCTAGGGGCTTATCGATTTTATTTATTCTTTCAAAGAACCAACTCTTTGATTCGTTGATTCTTTGGATTGTTTTCTTAGTCTCTATTGCATTGATTTCTGCTCTGATTTTTATAATTTCCTCTCTTCTTTTGGCTTTGGGCTGGACTTGCTCTTCTTTTTCTAGCTGTTTGAGGTGTAGCATCAAGTTATTTATTTGTATTCGTTCTGTTTTCCTGATGTGGGAACTCAGTGCAATAAATTTTCCTCTCAGCACGGCTTTCATTGCATCCCACAAATTCCGGTAAGTTGTATCTGCATTTTCATTTTCTTTTAGGTATTGTTTAATTTCTTCTTTAATTTCTTCTGTGACCCACTGATTACTCAAGAGTGTGTTATTCAGTTTCCATGTGTTTGTGGGATTTTTGCAGTATCTTTTATCATTAATTTCTAATTTCAGAGCGCTATGATCCGATAACATGCAAGGGATGATTTCAACTCTTTTGCTTTGTTTAAATATGTTCTGTGAGCTAATATATATGTTCTATTTTAGAAAATGATCCATGTCCTGCTGAGAAGAATGTGTATTCTGATATTGTTGGGTGGAACATTCTGTATATGTCTATCTGTTCACAGGTGTGATTCAGTTCTGTTATTTCTTTGCTCATTTTCTGTCTGGTTGATCTGTCCCTTGGTGTCAATGGCGTATTAAGGTCTCCTGTGACAATTGTGTTACTGATAATTTGAGTTTTCATTTCTGTTAATAATTGTTTTATATAACTGGGTGCTCTGGAATTTGGTGCATATATATTCAAGATAGTTATCTCTTCCTCTTGGAGTTTTCCCCTTATGAGTATGTAGTGACCTTCTTTGTCCTTTATGGTCATTGTTGGTTTAAAGTTCACGTTGTTTGCAAACAGAATGGCTACTCCTGCCTTTTTTTGGATTCCTGCTGCATGAAGAATTGTTTTCCGTCCTTTGACTTTGAGTCTGTGAGTATCCTTCTGGGTTAGATGGGTTTCCTGTAAACAGCATATGGTTGGATTTTGTTTCTTGATCCATTCTGCTAGTCTGTTTCTTTTGATTGGTGCATTGAGACCATTTACATTAATGGTTATTACTGTTAAATGCTGGTTAATTGTAGGAATGTTATCTCTCTGCTGTTGCATCTTTATCTTTCTGTTCTGTTTAATCATTTGCTTTGCTTAGTGGGTTTTTCCTTTGTGTATCTAAACTGTCTTTCAATATTTTTTGCAGGGTTGGTTTGGTGTTCATGAAGTTCTTCAGCTGTTCTTTGTCATGGAAGTATCATATTTCACCATCTATTTTGAATGATAGTTTTGCAGGATATATCAGTCTTGGTTGGAAATCATTTTGCTTTAGGATCTGGAATACTTCACTCCATGCTCTTCTTGACTTTATCTTTTGTGCTGAGAAGTCTGCTGTGATTCTGATAGGTTTTCCTTTATGAGTGATCTGTCTTTTCTCTCTGACAGCTTTTAATAATCTATTCTTGTGTTGGATTTCTGGGATGGTGATTATTATATGTCTGGTGTAGTTTTATTTTGGTTATGAGTATTTGGAGTTCTATATGCTTCACTGATCCTGATGTCAGTTTTTGATCTCATGCTTGGGAAATTTTCATCTATTACTTCTCTAAATATCCTCCTGACATCCTTCATGTTGTCTCCCTCTCTTTCATTAATCCCTATCATTCTTATGTTATTCTTCTTTGCATCGTCTTGCAGTTGTTGAATTGTTGTTTCCTGATTCCTTGTTATTTTCAAAAGATCTTTCCTTTCCTGTTCACTAGCTGCAATCCTGTCTTCAAGGTCTGAAATTCTATCTTCACTTTCATTAAGGCAGTTTTTACAACTTTTAGTGGAGTTTTTTTATTTCCTGTATATCTCTGTGCATCTGTATTATGTATTCTGTTTGTTTCTTATTTTGCTCGTGTAGGGATTCTATCTTTTTGTTTAGTTCCTCCAATTTTTTATCTGTGTTTTCTTTAGATATATTCAGAATCTCTTTCATTTCTTTTATCATTTCTTCTTTTATCTGGGAGATTATTTTGAGTTTGAATTTCTTTAAAGCTTCCTGGAGTTGCTTGTCAATTTCAGTAGCTATTGTGTCCGATATATGAGGTGGATGGGATATATTTTCTTCTATATACATCGCTCCTAGGGTTTCTTGAGATGGGCTGGAGGTTTGAGGTTGTAATTTGGTCTTTCGTTTTGTCATTTTCCTATATTTCTGTGTTTCAAGTGTTATTTGAAAGCTTCCTCAGGATCTGTTGAAAATCCCCTTCTATGTTTGGAGCTACTGAGACTCTGGCACCACACTACCCCAAGCCATTGGGCCTGCAGAACCAGTGGCCCTCCTCTGGCTGCTCAGAGCTCTGAAGTTCCAGACAAGCTGGGCCTCAGGGACACTGTGCGCCCACCTGCCCCCTGGAAGCTCCACAGCTCTCCAAGCACAGCTGGGATGTGGAGGCGGATGTAGCCTCCCCAAACCTGCCTCTCCACTTCACTGCACCCAGAAGCCTGGAGGGTCCCAAACAGTCTTGGCCGTGGGCAGAGTGTGCTGAGCACTCACCATTGGCTGCAGTGCCTCCAGAACCCACAATCCTCCCCTGCCTGCTGTGATATCCACCATCCTCCAGACATATAGGGAGGCCGATGCAGGTGCCCCAGATCCGCCCAGCCCCTTCTCTGCACACTGATGGTGAGGTGCTGGAGTCCCAAACAGGCTGGGCTTAGGGCATAGCATGCACCCGCCTTCTTTTTGGAAGCTTCACAGTTCTCCAAGTGCAGCCTGGATTGCGAGGCGGATGCAGAGGCCCCAAAACCACTTCTCCACTTCACTGCACCTGGAAGCCTGGAGGGTCCCAAACAGTCTGGAATTTGGGCAGAGTGCACTGAGCACTCACCACTGGCCTGGTGCCCCTGGAACCTGCGATCCTCCCCTGCTTGCCGAGACATCCACAGTTCTCCAGACACATGACACAGGTGCCCCAGATCCGCCTAGCCCCTCCTCTGCCCACTGATGGTGAGGTGTGAGAGTCCCAAACAGGCTGGGCTCAGGGGATAGCGTTTGCCCGCCTACTTGTTGGAAGGTCCATAGTTCTCCAAGTGCAGCCGGGATGGGGAGGCGGATGTAGCCTCCTCAAACCCACTTCTCCACTTCACTGCACCCAGAGGCCTGGAGGGTCCCAAACAGTCTGGAATTTGGGCAGATTGCACTGAACACTCACCACTGGCCGCGGTACCTCTGGAACCTGCGATCCTCCCCTGCTTGCTGAGATATCCACAGTCCACCAGACCCCACGGGGAGGCTGATGCAGGCACCCCAGATCCGCCCAGCCCCTCCTCTGCACACCAATGGTGAGGTGCGGGAGTCCCAAACAGACTGGGTCAGGGGAGAGTGTGCACCCGCCTACTTGTTGGAAGCTCCACAGTTCTCCAAGTGCAGCCGGGATGGGGAGGCAGATGTAGAGCTCTTTGAGTAAATTTTTTAAAAAATGATAACATTGAAATGTAGGGAGCGGTTTCGAATAGCTGCTGCTGCCCTGCCCCTCCTGCCTGAGGGCATTTTGTGTGTCAGCCTACATTTCCCATGATCCTCATGTCTGCCTACATTACCCATAATCTTCTCCTGCTTACGTCATTTATCCGGAGGTGATGATGACCTATCAGATAACCCTCTGTGCCCTCTTCCTGCCCCATTGGCCCGCCTCCACCCTATATAAGTTGTAGCCATTTTAAGAATAAATGAGACTTGATTGGAATCGCATCCTGTCTCCATCTCTCTTTTCTCTTGCCCTGCCCCCATCCCCAATCCCCTCTCCAGGTGAGACCCATGGATTGGTCCGCAGGCCGGATCAAGTGGCGCCCAACGTGGGGCGGGTCAAGTGGCGACCACGAAGGGACCCCACCTGGCACGAGGGATAACAACGCGGGACCGTTCACAGGAGTAAAGCGCTGGCCAGCGTGACTGATTCAAGGACATCATTCCTGTGATTTGTGCAGACAGACACCTTACGTCTTGCCTGAATCACGGTAGGTGCATTAGCATGGGACAAGCACTCAGTGAGCACAAATTGTTCGTGACTGGCCTCAGGGAGGCACTCAAGACTAGAGGGATTAAGGTTAAGACAAAGGAACTAATAAAGTACTTTCAGTTTATACATTCAGTGTGTCCATGGTTCCCCCTAGAGGGTACCATTAATTTAAACAGGTGGAATAGAGTAGGAGTTGCTCTTAAAGACTATTGTGAAGTTTTTGGTCCAAAAAAGATTACTGTAACTGCTTTTTCATATTGGACTTTAATCTCTGAGCTGCTGGCACAACGTCACGCAGATCCCCAGCTCGCGGAGATGCTTGCCCAGGGTGAGGCTGCGTTAGCTGCCTCCCGCAATTGTACTCCGCCACCACCGGTCTTATCTAAGGCACCCAGCCCTCCCGGCTCTGTGGTCCTTGATATCCCGGAGCCTTTTCAAGATGGCGACATGCCACCACTCCCTTTGTCTGAAGGCCACGAGGGTACTCAAAATGGCGTGCACCGCCCCAGTACTCAAAATGGGGCCGCCTTCATACTGACTCTGGTGGTTAAAAAAAAAAAAAAGGAGGCTGGAGATTTAGCTCAGCGGCATATGCGCCTGCCTTGCAAACAGGGGATCGTGAGTTCAATCCCCGGTATTGTTAAAAAAAAATAGGGGCTTGGGATTTAGCTCAGCAGCATAAGCGCCTGCCTTGGAAGCAAGCAGTCATGAATTCGATCCCTGGTACCAATAATGGGGGCAATAAATGTAGGGTTGTTTTTATTCAAAAAGACAAAAAAATGGTGTTGCCATGCTCCCTTCTCCATACTACCCTATCTACCCTGGAAATAGGAGCTTATCCATTCTTACAAGTCGAGGTTAAAAAAAAAAAAAGAAAAGAAAAAAAAAAGAAAGAAATGGGAGCTTAGTCACTGGAAAGACCAAGAGGTGGTTTGGACTTGGGTAGGATCAGGAAGTCCATGGTTTGCGCCCACACCCTGTTGGTTCTTTCCTGGGCTCCGATGTCCCAAACAAAGTCATTTTTACCTTTGTCCCGCAGCAACCGGGGGCAGATCATATTGTAATTCCCCGGGAGAATATTTTTGTGCTTACTGGGGCTGTGAAACAGCTGCAACAGGGTGGCAACCCGCCTTCCCCGATAAACACCTTAAACTGACATGGGGGCCACCGGGGTGCAGCCTAGGTGACTACCCACCGGCCAATCAAAAATCCTGTCAGGTCCTAAATGTCACTGTCACCACTCCTGAGGACCCAGGTTGGCTGACAGGACGCACCTGGGGACTGTGAGTTTATGAGTCAGGTAAAGACAGGGGAAGTCTTATTCTCATAAAAAAGGTTCCCCTACAGACTTCATTTGTGCCCATAGGCCCAAATTCTGCTCTAAAGCCAAAATATTATCCAAATCCAAAATACAATCAGCCCACTACAGATCCTGTTACTACTGTTCAAATAACCACAGTAAGTCCCTCAGCCATAACGGTTTCTCAAGCTCCGCTACACCAGACAGATCATGTACCTGCCCCTCAATATTCACATTCTAACCTATTCAGTTTGATTAAAGGAGCATACATGGCTTTAAATCATACCCGACCTGATCTCACCCAATCATGTTGGTTATGGTTGGCTGCTCCTCCCCCATATTATGAAGGAAAGGCCCTCAATTTAACCTTTATCAGTTCTTCTAGCTCATCTGCCTGTGACTGGGACAATCACCACAAGCTGACTCTCCCTGATGTCTCAGGGAGAGGAACTTGTCTTGGGGACTCCAGCCATCCACCAGCACTGGCAGCACGACTCTGTGCCCAGCTTCATTCCAAATTCAAGCCAAATAATTACCTCATTCCACCCCCAGGAACGTCCTGGGCCTGCAATTTTGGCCTCTCACCCTGTATAGCAACTGCTGTTTTTAACAAGTCTGTAGATTTTTGTGTTCTTGTACAGGTTCTTCCTCGCATAACCTTCCACCCAAGAGACTACTACCTCCAGGCATCGCAGATCAGCTATATATTTAAGAGAGAACCTGCGGCGCTCACCTTAGCTGTGTTACTAGGATTAGGAGTAGCAACGGGAATAGGGACAGGGACCACGGCTCTAGTGTTGGGAAATAAACATCTAGCTCAATTACAGGCAGCAGTGGATCAGGATTTAAAAGAAATAGAAGCATCTGTGACAGCTCTACAGGCATCCCTGATGTCTCTATCTGAGGTAGTCCTGCAAAATAGAAGAGGACTAGACCTCCTATTTATGAAGGAGGGTGGCTTATGTGCAGCCCTCAAGGAAGAGTGTTGTTTTTATGCTGACCACTCAGGAGTAGTCAAAGAGTCCATGAGTAAACTGAGAGAGCGCCTCAAAGAGAGAGAAAAGGAGTGCATTGGAGCAACCACCTTCTCCTCTATGTGGGGGGGGTCTCTTCCCTTACATTGCCCCCCTCTTGGGACCCCTAGCTGCCTTGCTGTTGCGGCTTACTGTAGGACCTTGTATTTTCCAGAGGATCATGACACTCATTAATAACGTTAATAACAAGGTTGACACATTTATGGCAAAGCCCATTCAGGTATATTACCATCGACTGGAAATGGCAGAACAACAAACTTATCGGGAAAAAACACCCATCGATGGCCCACATGATGCTGTGGCCCAGTAGCCCTGAGGCACTGGACAGGCAGTCAGAGACGGGCAACTAGGACACATATGTAATGCCAATTGGCAACCTAAGACAGGTCCAGGACCAACAGCTGTCCTGCAGGCCCATGACGGATAAGGCTCGATTGGGTTCATATGAGGAGTTCTTGACCCAAGACAGGCGCTGTCCTCCCAGGGCCTGCCATATTCCAAAAAATATGAATAATAAGGGAGGAGATGTAGGGAGCCACTTTGAATAGCTGCTGCTGCCCTGCCCCTCCTGCCTGAGGGCATTTTGTGTGTCAGCCTACATTTCCCGTGATCCTCATGTCTGCTTACATTACCCATAATCCTCTCCTGCTTACGTCATATATCCGGATGTGATGATGACCTATCAGATAACACTCTGTGCCCTCTTCCTGCCCCATTGGCCCGCCTCCACCCTATATAAGTTGTAGCCATTTTACGAATAAATGACACTCCATTGGAATCGCATCCTGTCTCCATCTCTCTTTTCTCTTGCCCTGCCCCCATCCCCGATCCCCTCTCCAGGTGAGACCCATGGATTGGTCCGCAGGCCGGATCATTGAAATACTTAGGAAAAAATGGACACAACTAGAAACCATACTGATAAGCAAAATAAATCAAACTCACATATATAAATACCGTATAATCTCCGGAGTTTAAGAAATTGTAACAGTACATAAGAGTATATAGTAATCAAGATTCCCATTACATTGCTCTGAAACCTTATAATGTCTCCACTCATTCACTGGAGTGGTTTTATCCTAGGTTGTTTGATATTTGTTATCTGTGATAGTATAAAGAGTTCTTTTATGGAAAAGAAGACATTAGAATCGTCAGAGTGGACGTAGAATCATCTTAGTCTGAAGTCCTACCAAGGATTTGTTTTTCGTTTGCCTTTGGTACTGTCCTGTTATATGTTACTGTATATAGTGTGATAGTACAAACAATTTTCCTATGGAAAATGAGCTAATATTGTAGTCATTGTTCATTTTCTAAACTTTGGTTCTGAAAGCCCTGTAATGCTTTCATTCTCTTGTATTGTTTTATATTGTTTTGTTATGCTTGATTCCATCGTATATGAAGCTATGCTCAACTATTTCAAAGAAAGAGACATTATGGTAGTTACTGTTATTTAGGGGTTGTCTTGTGGTGAAATGCTGTGTTACTTGTATTGTTCTTATCTGATCTGCTTTGCTATGTCCTCATTCATCTTAATCTCTAAAATAAAAAACATAAACAGTAAACGAACCCAGTGTAGAAATTTGAGAATATCCAAGCATATATCTGAGTAGCACAGCCCCTGCCTGGCAAGTTCGAGGTCGTGAGTTCAAACCCTGCTACCAAAAACAAAACAACAGAAGAAAAAAGAAGGAAGGAAAACAAAAAGAAAAGAAATTTTTGATGCCCATTTTATCCTTCCAAACAGATATTTGGAGAGGTACACCTACCGCTAAGCACTTCCCTTTACCCGAATTTTCTTTCTGTAAGGCATAAATGGGAGCATTCACATTGTATTGCCCTTGGGCTATGAGCAATATCTGTGAAGCTGGAGTGTTATGCTGTGCCTAAGATCTCTCCCCTTGAGGGTTGTGGAGAGTGGGTCACGGCCACAGTTTCAGTTCCAGCTCAGAGAAGCTAGGGCCACATCCAGTGTGGGAAGTGACTTATTTGCATAGGAACTTCCATGTCCACCAAAATGCATCCAGGGCACAAAACAATATGTCAAGGTGGAAAATCATTGTGAAATGAGAGACTAAATCAGTAAATAAGATGTCAAGAAAATGAAGGAGAAAATGAACAGAGAGACAGGGAGAAAGATCTAGGAAACAAGAGAGATGCTTAGGGGTTTATCTCAGTGGTTCTAGTTCCTGCTTGAAAAATGGCAGGTCGTTATTCAATCCACGGAACAAAAATACAGACAGGCGTGGAAAAATGTTTTTGTAAAACTCTGTGGTCCTGGGGATTCAGCTCAGTGGCCCAGCGCTTGCCTGGCCAGAGCGAGCTTGTGATTTCGATGCCAATTCTTAAAAAATTGTAAAACATCTATGTATTGGATCATTTATGTTCACTGAAGGAGAATTAGGCAGCATGTTGGCAGTTTGGGTGCAGTGTGTGTGTGGATGCATGAAGGCGTGGGTTTGAGTTTGTGTGTGCCCGCTTAGCAATGTGGGAAAACAAAGTCTCTTATAAATAGAAGAGACCATGGAATATGGATTGCCATAACATTAAGTATTACTGGGTAAGAAGGTATTAGATGTTTGAAACCATAGTATAATCTCCTATTCTGCACAAATACTGTACACTAAACTTACTTCTTTGGAAATTCACAACTTTGCAATGTCTACGATTTATGTGGCACCATTTTACCCTAGAGAAACAGAAGCAAACGATGAGGGGAGCAGGTCTCTAAATGACAGAGCCAGTAGAGGAGAGAATCAGCATGCATTCTGCTTCTTAGCTGCTAGCCACACAGATCCCACGAAGAGATGACCAAATCAGTAGCCAGCTCTTTAGGGTCTGAAAGCACCTCTGAGTCTGAATGCTTAGTGTACCAGGGTCTCAAGCACTGCTTGAGCATTGTAAAACCCTGAGTCTACTGTTACTCTTACCGCAATGCTGTATTCTCTCCCTTTAAGAAACTGGGTACCTGGAGCTAGAGGGGAATGTGGTTCCATGGGTGAACTCTTTGGGCCAAGCATGAAATGCACATTTGACTATGATTATAACACATGCTTTTGCCCTTTGCATGTGGATAGTGCTTTCATGCAAGTCTTTGTCTCTTCCCTCTGCAGACAAGATAGAATACAGGCGCAAGCCACGAACTGACTTTACCCCATCCCAACGCTCAGTACTGCTGAGTGCCTTTGAAAACAACAATCATCCAGGGCACGATGTTACAAAAGAATTAGCTACAAAAATCAATGTTGATGAAACGGTGATAAAAGTAAGTACCTGAGTGTGTGTCTCTAGGTGGTACACCTGACCCAGAAAGCCACACGCTTTCAACCACCAGCATACAAGTCCCATACTTTGCCAGGTGCAGTGCGTTTGGACAGCGGTGAAATATGGCATAGTTTCACTTCACCCATGTTCACTTTTGGAGGCAGACTGAGGCTGACCCAAAAGACTTGTCTTCCTCAAGTAATAAGTGCAAGGGCCAGATTTTAACTGATCCACAGCACACTGCCTGGGACCCTTTGAATCTGGATCTGAGATCTTGCCCTTTGGGTTGTTTTCCGATTAGCAGCACACTCTTGTAATGGGCAACCTAGTGCTCAAGAATTGAGGCACTTCCTGGAGCTGGGAGTTAGTCCCTCCCAAGCCCACGTTCTGAGTACAAATTACTTCTCATCAGGCTTCACATCTTCAAGTGGACTTCCTCTCCATACCATTCCTTAGAAGAGAAACACCAAACCCAGTGAGTCTTTATACAAACACAGCGGGTAGATATCTAGATACTGCTCAGTCAGAACATTCAAAATCATTCTGATGTCTTCCTATCGTTTGTCAAGGTAGTGAGGGCAAAATCCCTTCATGGAGCTGAAGCAACACAAGCTCCATTCCCATTCCTTGCTCTCAGTCATTGCAATGTATTCTTGCAAAATTGTGAGCAACCACTAATGCAGAACTACACGCAGCACCCTTGGTTTAACGCTCCGGGATTGAGAGTTTGCCCCTTCCTACTCTACGCATTGCCAGTAAAACCCAATACCCCCCACTCCTTTACCCTCCTGGAACCAGAACAGCACAGGATACAAAGTACTTCCCCTGTTCAGATCAGTCCACAGTAATTGGAGATCACCTTTCCGCCCCAAAACCCTCACATCCTAGGGAACAGGAAAATAAAGCTTTGGGTTCATACCCATTTATTGAACTGCTTCTCTCTTCCCTGTAGATCTGGTTTAAGAAACAGTGTAGCAAACGGAAGAAAGATCAGCTAAAAATGAAGCTAGCTTCTTTGCCCGGAACATCTACGCAGACCTCTTCTGAAAAGAAGGAGCAGGTCCTACAAAGTCCTGTTGCAATTTGTTCATCGATTTCTTCCATTTCAGATGACCATGTCTGTGACCGAGCAGAGCGTTTTGAGAAAGATATCAGTAGAAGACACGGAGCCTCTGTGTTTGGTTCGTCATTCCAAAGTCAACCTGATGGAACTCAGGGACAGTACGTCGAAGATTTTGACATTGATGACACAGATAAACTTATAGAAATGTATTATCTGCCTGGGGAAGATGATCCCAGCAGTCTAGATATATACCTCCCCCCAGGCTGCCTGCAGTGAAGAAGTGAGCATGGTGCTGATGGGCAGAGTGACTCATGACACCCACAACTTTGGACACAAGCCTCCATTTTCAAGCATGGTTCCCAACTGATTTCCATTTTTTGCAGCAGAGCTTTGAGGACTTGTCATTTCACAGAAGGCAATAAAATAGCCATCTCACTGTCAATGTTGCCTGTTTCCGAGTGTTTTGTATTCCCCCTCCAATCTTTTCAGTACCCTGAACACTCCGCTTGGGAAGGAAATCAGCAGCATGGGGAAATTTAGATTCCTGATTCTCCCTCACCCCTAAGTGCATTGAATATCACGTGCATGGATTCTCTCTGCATACAATGACAAACAGTTCTAGAGGGCCCCTACCAATACTGCCTGAGAAAATAGTTACATGCAACAGGCAGGAAAGGCCTAGGCTCTCATTGAAAGCAAGACACCCTTACTGTAGTGCCATCTTGCTGGGAAGGAATCTCATTGTGAAGAAAGTGCAAATCAGAAGAACTTACACTCCCGGCTCATGCTGGTTGCTGAGAATATTTCAGATAAGTGTTCCAAGGAAAGACACTTGTTTCCTTAAAGAGGAGTTAGCTAATCTCTGCAGAGGCAGACAGCAATAGTGAGGTATCAGGTGGAATGAAATGGCACTGCCTCCTCTGGTCCTGAGTGAAATGAAAGATGGGAGAACATGCCAGCTTTTAGGAGAGCCAAATAGGATCATTTCCGTGGTACATCTTCTGTTGGCAGAGGTGCTTGTGTGGAACAGAGTGACACTGGGGATGTGATGTAAGGTGTCTTTATGGGTAGGACATGTTCATGTATGGCCAGCATGGTCCCGTATTCGGACCTGGATTGTCCAGCTGAATGTGAATCTCATTGAGAGGATGCAGCTTCCTTAGGAGGTGGGCAGATAACCGAGATGCGTGTACGTGAGCATGACTGTTGCAGTCATACTGTACAATTTTGTTTCACAACTGTGACCATGTGTAAATGAATGCCGGAGCAGTAGCACAGCATCACTGCATAGCACCTTTAGCAGGAGCGTGTGCAGTGTACAATTCAGAGCGATCGTAGCTGGACTGTCTAGGAGCATATGAGCTGCTAGCGATAGAACCTGGTGTCTTGCATATGCTAATCATGAAGACTGTTACTGAGCAATGTTGTTGGATCTCATTTTAACATTTTTAGATGTTACAACATGATTACTGTGTAGTAATCCAGAAAGGTGCCTTCCCTTCCAACAGGCAAGCACTCTGAGAATTTCTAAATGTCTGTAATCAGGATCAAGGTTTTAGCTCTGTCTTACCTTCTGGCCCTGAGAATATTCTATGAAGCAGGAATTTCTCATTAGTTGTTTTACATCAGAGAGAGCGTCCACTGCCAAGTAACTGGTCCATGATCTGTCACTTTACAATCAACCTTCCATCCCAGATAGACTGACTGTTCTGCCACTCCTCTGTCTCATCAAGGAGACTGGGATGTGACTGTGATGGGGTCAAAGAAAGAGGAGCCAGAGTTTCACCTTGCACCTCTAATCCGTTTCTTCTCAACTTTTGACCTTGAGGCTGAAAAGCCTCAAGGTTTTCCATCATTTAAGCTGCTTAATTCTCCACTGCAGAGAAGTGTCATGACTTTCCAACCTCTCTTCAGGCACTGGAACTGGTGTGCCTGTTACTCTCTGGTTTCCAGGCAGACAGAGCCTTGTTTTCACTTTTTGACTGTCAGTTCATTAACCCTCTTCCAGGCCGATTATATTTCCTACTTAGAGCAACTCCATGGACCCTATGTCCTGATCTACTCTGCCTGTTTTTCTTTTTGTTAGTGTATCAAGGCCATCTATGTTGGAGATTATAGTCAACTTTCTCTGCCACATTTCTGCTCTGCTATTTCTCTGCCATTGGTTGTCTACTTTTCTACTTCATTCTGCTGTCTGCCCCGTTCACTGATGTCTTTCTGTCACTCTTGCAGGAATCCTGGTGATTTTTTTGTCTGTCTAGGATGTCCTTCAGTAATTTAGTAGGGTGGATTGGTGGTCACCAACTCCCACATTTCCTTTGAGTCATGGAAACATCTTGTACGTCCATTCAATTTGAGAGACAGTTTTGCAGGGCACATCCGTGTGCTTGCAGGTTATTTTCCTTCCGAGCTTGGAATACGTGGCTCCATGCTATGCTCTTTCTGACTTGATACTTTGTGTTAAGAAGTCTTTCATGATTTTGATGAAATTTCCTTTATGTGTGTTGTGTTTGTTTTCTCTGTCCGCTTTTAATATTCTGTTGTTGTGATCAATTCTGGGATCTTGACTTTTATATATCTGAGTGTAAATATGTTTTTGTTTTGGCTGGCTGGAGTTCTGCATGCCTCATATATCTGAATATTATTTCCTTTTCTGATGCTTGGCAAGCTTTCCTTAATGTTTCCAGTGAATAGCTTTTGTATTTCTTTTCTCTTTACTCCTTCTTCTTTGCTGATTATTTGAAATTCTTAGGGTATAGGTCCACGTGCTGCCTTCCAGCCTTTGTGCTGTTACTTCTTGGTTCCATGTCATTTTTAGGAGATTTTTCTTTCCCTGATCACACAGTGCAAATCCAGCTTCAACTTTTTAAAATCTGACTTTAGTTTTTGTTAAGGAATATCGCCATCTTTCAATGGACGTTTTAGTTTCCTGATAATCTCTTTGAATCTGGTACATGTTTTCTAGATTTTTTTTATATTCTTCACTAAAGTTTTCACTTCTTTTTCTGTGTTCCTCCACTCTTTTTATCCAGTAGAGCACTACTCAGCCATACAGAAGAATCACATTGAGATATTTATAAATAAATGGGAACAGCTTGAGAACATATTCTTGAGTGAAATAAAGCAAACTCAGGTGTGTGAATACCGAATAGTTTCCCTAGTGTAAGAAATGGATAAATACGTAAAAGCATGTGGTGATCGTGATTCCCCATTATACCGCTTTGAAGACGTATAAAGTCATCACTCCTTAACTGTAATGTTTTTATTGTGGGCTGTTTGACTGTATTGTCTGTGATGGTATGTACAGGCATTTTGAAGAAAACAAGAGATCGTAATAGCTGGAGGTGATTTCCTATCATCTTGTTTTAAAATCCCATCAGACTGTTTTGCTTCTGTCTCCATTGAATCTGATTGGAGTTTATTGTATATGATAGTATAAACAAAATCTTTTATAGGCAAAGAGATAATGTAGAAACTATTGTTTGTTTTGTGTTAGCTGGTTCTAAATACCCTGTAATACTTGAAGCTTCTTGAATGGTTTCACACTGTCTTGATATGTTTGATGCTATAGTGTAAGAAATTATAATCAAATATTTCAAGGAAAGAAACCGTATGGTAACTACTATTAAGTCGGATAATCTTTTTTTTTTTTTTTTTTTTTTTTGTCTTTTTCCTTTTTATCGGTACCAGGGATCCAACCCATGACTGCGTGCTTTCAAGGCAGGCACTTATGCCACTGAGCTAAACCCCCAGCCCCTTAAGTCGGGTTATCTTGTGGTGAAACACTATGTTGCTTAAACAGTTGTGTTCAGAACTTCTTGGTATGTTGTTACGTCCTCTTTTACCTCAATCTCCCTCCTTTATTAAGTGAATTATTATTTTTAATTAAGCTAAAAAATAAAACAATTAGCAGGATATATTATAGTAATAATTTTGATTTCCTGTTATGTGTAATGAATCCCTGTATTGTTCTCACCATCCTGCTTTGACTGATTTTACTCTATTCTGTTCTGTTCGATAGTATCAACTTTGAGGGTATAGGCAACTACTTTAAGGCAATAAGATTCACTATGATATCCATTCTTGTTTGACTATTAGGTTCCTTTGAATTCGTGTAATGTCTCCAATGTTTCGGTTTTATTGGTTTTGTTCTTTACTGTTTTGTTCAGGTTTCTTATACCTGATGCTATAGACAATAATTTTACGGTAGCAAGAGGCATTATAGTAACCATTGTTGATTACCTTGTATTCTGTTTTTAGATCATATACTATGTCCATCCTTTGTTTTGAATGGTTCTCTTTGTTTTGTCACAATTGGTTTTATTCTCTTCCAAAAATGTACCATGAACTGTGGGATCAACAAAACCCAAAATGTGAAATTGATATTGCTGAAAAGAGAGGAAAAGAAAGTCCTCTAAAGGATGCAAATGCAAGTGTGTTTAGATGTGTAAAACAGATGATCATATTACTAAGTATTTGTTGAATCATTGAACACACCAGTTTGCAGTCTCACTGAATGCCACTTTGTAGGCTTCTATTTTGTAACTTGAACAACTATTTCTAAGATGACGATAGGTAATCTATTAGTGAGTGATTTCTTATGGTTTATTTTTTTGAAATTTTGTATTACTGATACCCTTTTACTGTTTTGGCTTATTTCTCTATGAGTAAATATTTTAAAAAAATGATAATATTGAAATATTTTGAAAAACATGGATGCAACTAGAAACCATACTGAGAAGCAAAATAAATCAAACTCAAACATATAAATACCGTATACTCTCCCAAGTGTAAGAATTTGTAACAGTACATAAGAGCATAGAGTAATCATGATTCCCATTACACTGTTCTGAAACCTTATCATGTCTCCATTCATTCATTAGAGTGGTTTTATCCTAGTTTGTTTGATTTTATTATCTGTGATAGTAGAAAGAGCTCTTTTATAGAAAAGAAGACATTAGAATCGTCAGAGTGGACTTAGAATCATCTTAGTCTGAAGTCCTACCAAGTTCTTGTTTTTCGTTTGCCTTTGGTACTGTCCTGTTATATATGTTATTGGATATTATGTGTGATAGTACAAAGAATTTTCCTATGGAAAATGAGATAATATTGTAGCCATTGTTGGTTTTCTAAACTTGGGTTCTGAAAGCCGTGTAATGCTTTCATTCTCTTGAATTGTTTTATATTGTTTTGCTATACTTGATTCTATCGTATATGAAGCTATGCTCAACTATTTCAAAGAAAGAGACATTATGGTAGTTACTGTTAATCAGGGG